CTATCTAGCATGCGGGTGCTTGCGCTTGACATCCTGGGAGAAATGACACACCATAGCTGCAAGGAAAAACATATGAAAGGTAAGCGCGAAGTGTGAAAGGTGAAAAGTATAAAGTACCAAAAGAACGTCCAAACGCCACCAACCTAGTTGGGAGTTCGATCTCTGGGCTTCAGGTGGGAGTAAAAGGGGATTGTAATCAAGCAGCTCGGAAGCTAGGAGGAGCTTATCCGTGATAAGCGTGCTGATCTGTTTACCGCTTTTGAACTTACTTTTGAAAAATTTCAGGGCGTTGAAGGTTGGCTCGGAAAGTTGAGGAATCGGCCGAACAACGACTGAAATTGGAAAAAAGCACGAGTCAGACCACGAAGGAAAGAAACTGAAAGCAAGTAAAGACTCAACCCCTTACCTAAGTTCCCGAACCTAGAAGGACGTTGTGGAAGGGCAGGTCGGACTCTTTCTTGGCTAACCACGAATCGGTCTCCTTACATCTAGAGAACGTGGTGCGAGTTTGGAAAAAATCATTGGAGCTAAATTCTTGCATCAACACCCCCCAAAATCAATTATGCTACCCATATATGAAATTACATTTTACAAATCTTCATATTTGTTGTTCTTTGCAACTTCCCTTGCCATAATCAAGCAATGTTAAGTGAATATTATCTCTAAGCATTTATAATCTAACTAAAATGTAGAGTAACATCAAGTAGAGCCAAACACACGTCTCATATATTCTTCCAAACATAGAACAAGTAATCCCAAAATGGTGGCCAATATTTCAGAATAATAGAAAAGACAAATCAACTTGACTTGGCAGTAAGTAAAATGTTTAATTACAGGTATTTAAGTTTACACGGAAAGCTTGCAACCTCCCTCGAAATGGAAATCAGTCCATAGATGATGGGAAAACAGAAAACAACATAAGTGAAAACAACACATTCTAGTGAAAAATTCAGAGTGGAATATCCTCTAGTTTCTTTCTATGAATGTATTCTCTCTTATTTTTTGTATCTTTTTTTTAGTGTTTCCTTCTTGGAATCGATACTGACGACTCCCCCTATATTGCTTTTAAACCATCCCTTAATTTTAGGGCAGCACAACAAATGTACGAATGTTAGGTGAAAATTTCSAACTTTTATATTTTACCATTTGACTCCAAATTAAAGCGACATTAGCATAATGACCCTCAAAATTATGACAATAAAATTCAAAAATAAGGTTAAAATAACTCTCTAATGGAAAGTTATCAGTAGGGAGCAAACGACTATGAAGCAAAATAAATAAAAAAGCAATAATCTCATAGGGGAGAATCTTCTTTAGTATGTGTGCCGAATTTTTAGAAGAAATTGTATGAAATATTCAACTTACTTGAGTGAGGTAGCTCTCTCCCTTATGTATTGGGAGAGGGTGAGTGAGTTCGAGTGTGAGGGTCAGAGATAGCAAAGGCGACGTGTCGCATTTGGATCCAATGGGAACCACCAACAGCCTTATCGCAAATGGGAGGCGTGGCAGTGCGATCTTAAGCATATTCGAATTGGGTATATGGTGTAAATACTGTGCCAACTGGATGCCCAAGTATGCTCAGCCTTTGAGCCAAAGTATTCTTAGCCCTTGAGTCGATGTAAAGATGTTCATTTTCCCTATGGGGACCTGTCTAAATGGGACGGGGAATGCCTGTTTAAATTCCCCATGGGGCAGGATGGGGGAAAATTTTTCCCCACCACCTAAATAGGGATGTGGATGAAGAATACGTTCTCCATCCTATGTCATTTTTTTTAATATTTATATATATACATACACACTAAAATAATTATATTATCCTCTTTAAATATATATGTACTAAAAAAATTATGTATTATTCTCTACCCACTCACATAATATACATATTTGAGAGAATTAGACCATATAAAATTAAGTAACAAAATAAAAATTTCTTTAAGAAAAAAATATTTGTTGACAAATGATTTAAAACATAAAAAAAGAAATGGGAAAAAATTTCCCACGGAAACCCGATCCCCAAAAATTCCCTGCGGGGAATCACCACCCCAAACCCCGCAAAATTATGTGGGGAATTTCGAGGGGATGGGACAGGGAAGCCTTCCCGATCCCCACCCCACCCGATGAACATCCCTATGGGCAGATAAGAATCGAGTAGATGGGCAGAACTTGTGGCACCTCAATTTACCCCATAACAACAACAAATATGAAGATTTGTAAAAATATTGATTCTAAAACTATCATCTAGGAGACTTTCTTTAAATAAATAAATCTATATTTATATTGTTTTTCTCAAAACCATTCAACTCCCTCCATGATTTCCCCCAAAATCAATTATGCTACCTATATATGAAATGTCTTAAATACAAAAAAACCTTCTCGCAAATATCATACCATAATTAATTCATACTTCTAAAGAACCTTCATTAATTCAACAAAATAGATTATTAAAGCATTTTAATGAGTGTTAGAAAGCGCTAGCATCTTTCTTACACGACCAAATCACATTATTCAGCATAATTAGTTTCAACTCCAAAATAACTATTCTAAGGAACCTTTAAAATAGGTGGTCAGCTACTTCACATTATGGTTACATACATAGCAAAATTAGTAAAAGTCATAAGAAAAAATCTACTGGTAGATAATTTATGCTAGAATAACCTTCGCTTGCACTGCTTCAAAGAAAATTCAGACCAGCCGACAGATTGCAATATATCCACCAAAAGTTTAGAATGAAGCACACAGACATAGCCAAATGGAATCATAGCCGCTGAACCAATAGCCAGCAGAAACTTAGCCCCACCTTTATGACTTGCACTGAAGAACGCAACGCTAAAAGCCGCCATCATGCAGACTCCAGAAATAAATAACATCACCAATCCCACCAATAACTTGGTTGGCAACAATACCAAGAAATCGTCTTCTGAATAGCCCGACATCAAGATAGATAGAAAGCTAACCATCGAAGTTGTAGATGCTGCAAAAGCTAAAATATCTAACATTATAAATATCGTAAATGCATGATTTTGCCAGAAAATAGGAATGGTTGTGTTCCCATCATTGCCCTTCAGCATCGTGAATAACACTACAAAAACAATAGTCGCAATTAGGGTTGCCACTAGCATGCATGAATTTGCTATATTTTTCATATGCTCCTCGCCATCTTTAAGGAGTTGCTTATGCTCTTTTGTGAATAACTCGCGGGGTGTCAGATGATCAACTCTATCTCCTATTATCTCAATTTGAGAAGGTTCCGCAACAGAACATCTCATTTGATGATGAGAAGACACCACGATTTTCTCCACTTCCTTAAATTTTACAACATTTTAAAATTTAGATAACAATGTCGATAAAAGTAAATTTCAAACATAAGAAAAATGCATCACATACATACCTTGAACCATAAAAGTTCTCGTTGCATTTGAAGGGCGGCTCCTGAGACTCTACTCAAGTGGCATGGAGCAGCCAATGTTCCAACCAAATGTAGCATGTTGGAGTTGTTCTTTTCATTGTAATAATTGGCTATGACATCCTTGAGTCCTCCTATCTTATATATTAAAGAGAAGACGCTCTCTTGTCGATTTTCAACCGCTACATGGAATATGCTTTTATTGTTATCATCAAATTTACATAGCAGATCAGGATATGATCGTATGAGTATAATTAAGAACTCAACATTTCCAACTCTTGCAGCATCATGGAGTAACCTTGAGGGAGTTTCAATCAACTTTGACAGTTCACTTCTTGTAAGATTTTGGACAACAACCTCCCATACACGTTCAATAGTTTCACGAGCCAATGTTTGCATCAAAACTTCATTGTAGATTCCTTTGAAGCCTAGCAAGCAAACCGAACATATGTATATAAATGCTTTAAATAGATATATTTATGTATTCACAAAGAAAGAAAGCTTAGGGTATTAGTATTACATGAGTTTATGCATCTTTTCCAAAATCTAAGTTTACCGCTACCAATTGCAGACGGTTTTCTAGCAAACACGTGCAAAGCTGTGTCACCATTTTCTTTCCTACGTTCCAATGCTAACTCTGGTTTCTTTTTCATAATATCCAGTGCTATGTCTGAAAAAAAAAAAAATATATATATATATATAAGGGTATCAATGGGTAAGGTTAAAAACTTAAATTGAAATAAGAAATATAAGGTTAGATGCAGATAAAAGATGGAAGCAAACCATAGCAATCAATGGAGATGCTAGCAATAAGAAGTTCGAACTGTTCAAAAGCATCTAAAGCTTCAAAATTGGTTTTAGAGAAAAGGAAGGAAATCATGTCTTGGTGCTTGTAAGTTATTGCAACTAGAAGCGGAATTGAATTTTGAGAATCACGAAGATTTGGAAGAGTGGGATTCTTGTCAACCATCACTTCAGCCATTTTTACAGCACCTGACGCAGAGGCAATCGCGAGGGCAGTATTTCCTTTTTCGTTTTTGACAGTCAAGTCAGATGAGGAGATGAGTTGAACCAAATTCTCTACGAAAGAAATATGCTTTTTAGCAACAGCAATATGAAGAGCAGTATCCCCTTCATCATTTATCTTCATTGTAAGAGCTGATGAATCTTTGTCAATTATAGACTTGGCAGTCTTCCAATCACCGTTGATTGCTGCTTGATATAAGCGAACGTTTCCACTCTTCTTTTTTGCTTCACATGCAAAACAGACAACCAACAAACAGTCGAATGAAATTTTAGTGAAATTACAAGGGCTTAAACTCACAACTTCTAACCTTAATACCGTGGTTCTTGATCCTTTAGAAGTTCTGAATTGTAACAGTACTTGAAAGAAAAGTCACTGACAATCAATGATCAATAACATCACACATCACTTCTATCCATCAGCTAAGAATGGATAAACCTTGACAACATGCGCATTTAATACACAAAGAATAGAAACTAAAGTAAAGAAGAGCTCGTTTCTCAGTTCTTGTTTTTGGTTTCTAATTTTTTAGAAGCATAAATGTTTGATAACTGTTCATGTTTTTTGTTTCTTATTTTTAAGAAATGTTTCCATGTACTTTTATCAGTTTTACTTAAAAAAAATGCATAATAAATATCAAAAAATAAATATAATATAAAAAATTTAACAAAGAAGATTTATTTCAAATTTTCAATTCTATTTCTCTCTCACAATGTTTTTCTCTCCTCTCAATTTGTTATATACAAAAGAGAACACAAGATGAGAAACAAAGAGAACTCCAACAACAACTCCTCCAATTACCAGTCAGAGTTAATAAAACCTGTCTTCACTAACCATTCAGCTCATTGCAACTAAAAAGACAAATGAACTGGTTCTACCAACAAGAGAGGTTACTGTTATTGGCTAAATACTAATCTTTAAACAACTTTTTCGCTTCATCATCCTTACTCTATGAGCAATCAGAGTTTAACAAATACTAAATTAAATCATCCCTAAATTTTAATGAAATTTAAGTAAGAAATTTTCCTTTTATGTTAATGGATACGTAAATCAAAATTAAATAATAAAATATGCCGTAGATGAGTTTGGCATGCTATTGGTGCGTGGGTAACCAAAGGCCAACGGTAACAAATTACACAACCAAACCACCAGAGTGAGTTTGGAAAATTGTATTCAACTGCTACAGCATGAAAATAAACGAACGCAAAGGATATGAATGCACATACTGTTGCAAAGAACAAGATGGTACATTTCCGCCCTTGAATTCAGCTCAGACTCTGCTACATTCGCTCCATCAGAGTGATTGCCTTTTGTGGATAGTCGAGCAGCAGTGAGATTACTATTCCTCTCTTCTCTTGCATCGGCAATATCAATGCCAGCACACGCAACATCATCATGATCAAGGTATTTATGATTCGAAGATCTCGGCTCAAGAAGCCTCTGATGTATTGTTGGAGTTATTGATTCTTCCCTGTTTGGGTTTGATTCACAACTAGGATGTGAAAGATGGGAAGCAAGATCCTCTTCTTTAAAAAGAACCACCATCGATTATTTCATATACTCCTGCAGTACTGTACTGATCTCAAAAGTCAAATCTTTCCCAGACTTTAAATTCTGCAATCAAACCCTAAGGTCTGAAAGCATTTTTGGTTAAAATTGGAAACTAGTATTTAATAATATGATAAATTATTGGTTCCTATCCCTAATAAGTAATTCTCAAGAAGTATTTAAGTAAACTTTAGTTCGTAAACTAAACACAGATTCAGGTTATGAAAGCGCACTCAAAACTGAAGAGGGTCATTTTGTATTGGTTCTTACTCCTGTAGTACTCCCTCTGTTCACAAATTTTGCTTCTTTAATAATTCTTTCATACCGTTAGACCCACATAGCTGACAATGAATGGAAGTAGCATACTGCCCAAGCTTTCCGTATCACGCACCCATTATGATAACAGACAATTTTGTATTATATAAAATACGGTAATAGAACAAAAATTGAAGCCAAAGCGTTCGCTTGATCAACAAGAACTTGAAAAGCAATCAAATTGATTGTCTGACCCCGACAAACATATTCTCATCAGAAATAATTCTAAAAATTAGAACTAACCGATGATAATTATCTCAACAACTCGACCTGGACGCCCCATGATATACAATTCAAAGAACTCCACGAGAAGAGTACCTGAAATCGAGATTGAAGCGCCCCAGTTTTAGATCGATTGAGATCAATTTTCAACCTTTTTCGTGACAAAGGTTAGGTGAGGGGGAAGGGAGGCGGGTGGGCGGCAGGAGGAAGAGGAGAGCAGGCTAGCGAGACCAATCTTACTTGTACTTGATACTTGAACAGATTTGTTCTAAAACTTCTACTTGTCTCTCTCCTTGAGTTGAAAGGTCAACGAGTAACAAACTTCCCTCTCTTTTTGTTCTCAAAAAAAAAAAAAAAACATCACTCTCTTTTAAGTGGGGTTGGGCCGTAGGAAGATTGGGCTGCTAAATTCATTCCAACACAAATCGTACCTAGTTGGGACATTTTTTTGAAAAAATAATGTCTTGGACAGATTAAACTTGTTTATATATTTTACGACTTTAGATTTCTGTATTTTAAATTTTTCCTAAATACTAAGTTTTCCGCATTTATATTTATTAATAAATTACTTTTTCTGTAAATGTAAAATATTTAATTTTTCAATTATTAAATTTTTTTGTCCCAAATCAATTATTTCCCTAATTCCCTAATTTACTCCTTAAAATATTCTACTAAATAATCATCGAAAAGAAAATGACAATTATAAACTATACACAATTATATCTCAAATTGACTAAACAAACAACCAAATAAAATAAACCCCATAATCAGATAACTACTGTATCAGATATTCAATATAGCCACAACCTAAACCAAGCACCAATTTTAATATAGATTAGCAGAAGATATAATCAATTGAAATTACCACAACCATTCTTAGATAGATCTAAATGTGAAACATAAACTACATACGACTATGTCTCAATAGCAATCATTCTAACATACACTTATATTCGAAATATAAACTATATCCAACTATCAACTATAAGTATTGAGTGCAGCATACAGAATCCATTCACCAAAATCATGCTTCAAATTAGCAAATTGGATATATGCCTATATATACCAACAAAATTATATACGAGTATATCATTAAACAAGTCCAACATGTATGGCTCGATAATCACCCTGTTAGAAAATTTAAACAAATCCTAATTCATGATTATTCTAAATAAAAGCCATAAAATTCCAGAACAATCAAGACCAATGATCTAAGAACCAAAATCTATAAAGAGATTAGAATTACCTGAAACCATTAGATTGATTGACCATGACCTGCAAAAAGTTGTGACTTATGGTCTTCCTCAACTATGCAACACAAACCAAATATGGGCAATACTTGGTCGAATTAAGCACAAGGAATATAGGGAGGGGATTGAAGGAATTGATGGGGGAGAGTTTTTTCCCCTAGTATTAGTTTCAAATGATGCCCAGAAAAGATATGGTTTCCAATATTTCCAATTTATACTATGCAATTAACTTGGCTAGCTACTTAAACCGCAATGATTTTGAACTGGAACCAAGAAGTAGAAGTAGAAGAGAGTAGAGATTTGTGGTGTGGGAATGC